GGAGGGGACAGGGGGAGGTGGGGGTGAGGGGGAGGAGGTGGGACGAGGACGGGCCGGCGAGGCGGAAGTGAAGGGTGGAGAGGATGTTTGCTTTGCCGCCGTTATTCTGTATCGTTTTGCTGTGTCATGCTGCTGTATCATAGCCTGTTCCATCCAAGACCTTGCCTACGCTGGGAGGAACGGTACAAAACACGTCTTAGCCTTCAGGCAGTCCTCCGAGCTGGCATCGAACCAGCGCCTCGGGATAAATTGACGACGTATATTTGGATATTCATCCCGCGCTCTACCACTGAGCTACCGAAGGGCGTTATTTGACGGACGCGGCGGGCATACGTACCAACCTCAAATGCATTTGGCTGCTCGGGGTCATCCCATCTCCTCCTCTGAGCGTTTTCGCCTTCTTGTCGCATACCGCCCCTTGAGTATAGAACGGCATAATCTCACAGTATGAGGTGCCAGATCACCCGTCGTGTTCTCGCCCGCCCGAACAGGCGGTCTTTCTGTCCAATAAGATCATCCACTACGTAGTATGCAGTGGTCAAAAACCCGCTCCCATGCGTAGTCCTTCGAGCTGGAGTCGAACCAGGACCTCTCAGATTAATATGCACTGATGTATGCATACACACTCGGCGCTCTACCGATTGAGCTATCGAAGGATGTCGGAAATTGGATGTGGCGAGCATATGTAGGCACGATCCACAACGGCGAGACGCGAGTCGTTCTCGATTTGATGTGAGAAAACCGCAACTCCCGACTGGAACTTGCTAGGAATGGCTGAGGCTGTTAAGATGGTTTTGCTGCGCGAGCGGAGTCGGGCGGTGAGGGTTGGATGAGGGGACGCGCACGAACGTCGAATGTGCGAGCGTCTAGGTCACGGTACCGCGTTTGATCCGACGGCCCGCAAAACCGGCGCGCTCGATGCTGCTCGCCGGCTCGAGCGTTTGCGGCGTACCACCACGGTCTATCCTATCACCATATCCCAAGTCATTCGACTAGTCCGCGTTCGCGGCGTATACCGTGCTCGGCCATTGTCATCTGCACCTAACATCTTGCGATACAATCGTTACTACCCGTTCCCACACGTCGCTTTCCTATATTTTCGGCTGCATGCGAGGGCCCATTCGATGCGGCGGACACTCGGTCGCCAGCCTGAAAGGCTCAGAACTTCCCGCGGCCGAGCCGTACGGATGAGAAGGGCCCGCCATGTGCGCCAGTCATCTGGTCGCGAACGGGATGAGACTCAGCGCAATTTTGCCTGAGTGTGCTGGACAAGAGTACCGAGTTGTGGCACTGGATGGCCGTTCACGCTCCTTGCTCTTGACCACCACCATCTCGCGTACCCGATTCTCTTTCACACGACGCAGCAGGTTCTCCACATATGCAAATGATCTGTCGCCCGCTCTCCCGGCCTCGTACGCCTCTTTACCACACGCGCTCGGCGCGTCTACACAAGCACGCGCCATTCTCCCCGCGACACCTCAGGCGCCTCCTCCGATGCACCTAGTACAGATTCCACCAGTCCCACGACGCGCCCTCTGCCTCGATTGCGGCAAAAATCCCGAGTCGACTCTCGATCGGCAATGCTTTCCCACGGATTGAAGTGAACCGTTTCAAGAGTCGGGGGGCGGCCAGCTCGTCCCGAGTGAAGCATCGTCTTCTTCGATACAACTATCCCATGACGCCACTTGAGCGCTCCTGACGCTCATATGCTCTAGTCGGGAGACTTGCATGACCTACGAAGCCCTCGGCGGCTGACGAGTAGAAGCAAGCGAAGTAGTGACGCGACTGGATGCGGCTCTGCGGTACACACGCATGATGCTCTCGAAGACCGCACGGCCCGCTCAGGACGGCTGTACTCGATATATCAGAGCAGGGGCCTTGGAGTCTTTTACGCCGCGATCTCCGCACCATGTTATTCCTCGCTCTGCTCAGCACTCTCGCGATCGCGATCGCGTCCGCTCTTGCAGTACCGACCGTCGATCTCCTAATCGACCACACTTTCCCCAACACCGGTCCCCTATCCCCGCACCAAACACTCTCCTCCGTCTCAGCGCACAAAGGCCGTCCCTTCCATTTCGGCTCATCGCTCAACATCACCATCCCGCATCCAGGCTGGCCGGAGAAAGTCTTCAGCGACTTCTTCAATCATGTCGTTGCGGAGAACGGGTGTAAATGGGGTGAGGTTGAGAGGGTGAGAGGGGTGAGTGATTTGAGGGAGTGTAGGGAGGTCGGAGAGTTTGCGAGGGAGGTCGGAGGGTCGTTTAGGGGGCATAATACGTTTTGGCATACGCATTTGCCCGTATGTCATCTTCATTTATGTTGCCGTATATTCGTAGCTGACTTGCGTGCGATCTGTAGAGCTGGCTCCCTGGCAACTTCAGCGCCCATACCCTCGTCAACAACATCATCCCCACACATGTCCGCGCAGAGATCAGCGGTATGGGTCCATCGGTCACATCATGGGACGTGGTGAACGAAGTCGTCGGCGATACCGTTACGAGTGGTATGACGCCGCTCGAGTGCGTACAGAACAAAGACGTCTGGCCTACCGTCGTGTCCGATGGATCCAGTGTTCCGCTCGTGAGGGATCTGTCGTTTCTGTATGCAGCGTTCGGCGCTGCTTTTGATGCGGCGGGTCCATCAACTCGTCTCTCAATGAACGACTACAATACAGGCAAGCATCCATACCACTCCTCTCATGAGCATCACGAGCTGAAGACCGCGCAGGCGCCGACGACGCAAAGACGGCGTGCAACATCGCTCTCCTCAAAGACATCCAGAAGAACACCAACATACCCTCCAACCGCCTCGCTCTAGGCTTCCAGTCCCACATCAACGAAACGACCTTCGTGAGCAAGGCTCAACTTGCAAAGACGTTTGCGGGACTTGCGGAGCTTGGCGTTGAAGCGATGATCACGGAGATCGATATTACGCTCAACTCGAGTGCTGAAGAGGACTTGAGATTTCAGGCGGCGATATGGGGCGACTACATAGACGTACGTCTTCTTTCATTGGCAAACTGTACAGAGACACACGCTGACGCCTGCAATGTAGGTTTGCCTCTTCGCAACCAACTGCCACGAGTTCATCAACTGGGACTCTCGCGACGACGAGTCGTGGCTCGGAGGACAAGCCATCGCTACTCTGTTCGATAAGAATGGCGATCCGAAGCCGGCGGCGTATGAAGTTGCCGCGCGGTTGATGCATTTTGCGAGGGGTGGGGAGGAGGTGTGTGCGACGGCGCGGGGCGTTGAGAGGTGCAGAGTTGGGTGAGGAGGGAGTGTAGCCTGGTTCAACTTCAGGGGAAAGACGGCGTGGAGAAATGGAAAGATGCGGTATTTAGCTTGGAAACGGATTATATGGCATACATGTACATACCATACGTAGCACAGCCTCATAATTTATATGCTCCTGAAGTATGGACACGATGGCACAGTCCGTTCGTGATAGAGAGGCCCGATAGTTCAACGCCCGGCGCGGGGAAGATCCCCGAGGTCTGCCCAAGGCGATCCGCCCGGCGCATTACACCGCTATGCTCTTTCAAGCACTGGCTACATTCCATCGTAACCCAACTGATTACTCAGGACACATAACGGTTCAAGAGTGTAGGGCAAGTCCTGATATTCCTACTCGCGCGACGCGCTCGAATAAGCCCCGCAAACCCTAACCCTAGCAGACCAGCCCGCGACGCGTCTCGACTCTCGGCCCTCGCGGCTTTCAATTCCTACGGCCACGAGACACTCTGGGAGAACTCATAGAGAAACGGAATCACACGTACACGCAATAGGTAGAAGCGCGAAGAGTCAGCATACGTGAGGCGAATGAATGTTGGTCCGTGTTCATGTTGGTGTCCGCGCGACGCGTTTCAGCGCGACCTTCCCTTCCAACCACCACCACTCTACACACTCGCCACCCGACGCTCCCTTTATCCGCCACGCCTATCTGCGATACCTCTGGCGTATACTCTGCGACTCTCGGTGCTACGCTCGAGTGGGCGATCTGCCGCAAGACCGTGCCGACTCGGCGGCAAACTATGATCAAAGAGACGATCTCGCACGGCACCCCGCAGTCTTCCCTCTCAGTCTTCACCTTTGTCACCGGCATCTACTGGTTCACCCGGCTCTACCTCAAGGCTCTCTCTCTCTTTGAAGCTGGCATCGGGCTGTTCGTCGGGCTTATGATCCCTTTCCCAAACTATTCTGAGCTGCCGCATACGTTCACCCCCAATCGAGGATCTAGAAGCGACACCTCTCCATCATCGGTCACCTCGACGCGCAAGGTCAACCTGACTCGCCTCATACGCGCTCGCATGCTGAACGCAGCTCTTCAAACCTTCTCTTACTGGGATGGGCTGCTCACGAAGGAGGAGCTGAAGAGCATAGTGATCTACGAGCGCCTGTCGATGTCGCCGGACAACCGGCTAATGGTCTTTCCTCGCACAAGACTCTGCCCGATACTCGAAGATGGCGCTCCTCTGGAAGAATCCATCTCAGAAGCGACTGCGGCAGAGGATCAACCTACTTCTATCCCTGGACCATGCATGTCAGAGGACCACCTCGCTTTCGTTCCCGGTCCATATAGCTCTATCTCACCTAGGTTGTCGTTCTCGTCGCTCGATGACTTGACGCTTTTCGATCCGCCATTCTCAGCCTTCTCAGCCAAAGCACTCACGTCGGACACTTCAATCTCGACGACTTCCGAGCTAGATCTTTGCGCCGCATTGACGGATGATCTGTCGGTCTCATCTTTGCTCTCACTCTCTAAGGGATCATACTCCTCTCGGGCCCTGGATGAAGTCACCTTGGTCGATGTCGCCGAATCTACTAGTGTCTTCGACAAGATAGTCGCTATCAAGCCTGACTCACCGGATAGCGCGAAGGACAGCGTCTTGTCTGTCACCTCTCAGCCAGAGGATCACCTTAACGGCGCTGGCATTACCGAACCGACCGCTGTAGTCTCACATGTACACGACAAGGACATTCTGTCTAATGAGGAGAGTTCTGTCTGTAATCCCAACTTGCGGCTCTTTGCGTCGCTTGTCTCGCATATGTCTTCGGCAGACTCGATACTGACCGAAGCAAGCTGCAAACACACGGACTCGGACGGCACTGAGTCATACGTCGAGGTCGACAGCGCTATTGTGCTTGTAGAACGAGGACCACTCACTAGTGAAGACTGGTGCTTATATGAGGGCGGCGTACGGCGCATCCTGGACGAAACCGTTGTTCTTCTAGACCGGTACATCGAATGTGATTCTGTGAGTCCTGGTCTACTCGCTCATGCGCGCATCGTTTGCTCAGTTCTCACTAGCTCGTTCGCTTCATACTCGTGTCCATGCTACTCGCATCGTGCAGTGTGACAATTGATATAACCGTCAAAGAATCCCAGGACATCTTGTTGCAACTTGCACTCGTGGAAGACGGCTTTCGATTACTTCGACGCATGTCTACACTCTGGGAATTTGACAATACCTCAGAGATGTTCTATCCTCGGGGGAAGGAAGGAACGACTGAGAGAAATTTCTACGCGAGTTTTCTTTCCAGCGTATCATGGCTCAAGTGAGTCTTCCCACGAGTTCATCAGGTTCAAGCACGTAGCTCAAACGAACTGTACAGGCAGCGCCGGATCACCGCAGTACTGGACGCCTTGCCCTTCGTCTTTCGTCTGTGGTATCACCGGCCGGACTGTGTCACAGGTAGCGCATGGATGATGTCACATGTGCGCGCTTTCCTAGCCGATACAGGGGAACCTTGTTTCCCCGACCTACACCAAGTCCCCCTCCCCGGCTTCCCTGTGTACGAGGACTTGCTTCGGGACTTCGATGTGGACATCGTCACGGGGAGGATATGTGACGACCTTGACAACGTCGATCTTGTCGATAGCACGTTTACGCGGCTCTCGTGCTCTGCTTTGCGCCGAGCAGCTCAAAACTCGCTTCTTCTCAGCCGGGATCTGCGCATCAATGCTCTCTGCGTCCCGGCGGCAGCAAACTTCAGGGTCGGATGAATGGCACAGCGCTGTGTGGGGCCACGCCATTTTTTATATCTAGTAAGTATATCCATTGCGTCGTTCAGAGTCGACGACTTACTCATATACTCTTCTCCAGCCGCTTGTCCCTCGAGACCTTGCTCGCCGGTCTTCCAAAGCATAGGCGCAAGGCACCGGTTTGATAACCGGCTATCAATTGCAATGGCCGATTATCAAATCGGGTTCCCTCGTGGGGCCCTGATTGCCGGATCAAACAGCGTTTGATCGGGCCTCATTGACCGTGGACACTGCCCTCCAGGTGCCAACCGAGTCTAGCCGCCGAGTGGGCTGGCCCCGACGAGGGCTGCAATTCACTCATGGTGGGGGGCAACGACGCCCCGAGCAGGGCAGGACTGAGTGCAATATAATCTGTAGATTTGCTGATTAACAACGCTCAATAACGACGATAACAACTGTGAGAGTACTACTGTAAGAGCCGGTAAGCGTTTCAAACGACCGCAAGAGCTCCCGCCTCGTGTCGAAGTCGTGCGGCTCACATTTTCGCCATTGTTATTTCGTTCCTCCCTTCCTCTATCAGGCACCATGCCGCTAGTCCTTGAAAACAGCTTTCTGTCCGTGCAATTTTGACGCGAAAGGATGCACTGGATGTGAGGGTAGAGGCGCTACAACCAAGCCACGACCCGCGCGAGCGTTGTCGGCCATCGCCGAGGCACGCGAGAGCCATGCTTTCTTGGCTGTTTGAAAGTCTTACTGCAGCTGACCGGCTCTTACCGCGATTATCGTTGTTACCGAGCGTTACTAACGTTTTTAAGAGATTCCTGGTTTGCAGATGGCCCCATTGAACGGGCATCGGAGCGCGAACCTAATTCAACACAAAATCCCGATCAAGCAAGCTGGGGTGATCGTGATTGAGCGTAATTCTGATTGAGCGCGGACTTGATCTTGACGCGAAAACCTGATCAAGCACTTACAGTATCAAAGCCCTGATTGAGCGAGCCTGGTTCAGTGCGATCTGATTCCAACACAATCTGATTTGACGTAAAGGCCCGATCAAGCAAGCTGGGAATCTTGATTGAGCGGATTCCTGATTGAGCGCGGACCTGATCAACAGAATCTTATTTTCACGCAAAACTCGATCAAGCAGCTGGGAGCTTATCGAGAATCTGATTGAACCCGAATCTGATTGAACGCCGCGAACCAGATTAAGCACACTCTTGATTCAAAATCTCAATCAAGCGTAATCCAGACTGAGCACAATCCCGATCCTGATTGAGCGCGAGCTTGATTGAGCCCGATCTTGATTGAGCGAGATCAGGCGTCATCTTAATCAGCCAAGCGATCCTAGCATTGGGTACCCAATTGACTGGAACAGGTACCAGCGTGCATGTATGTAGCTAGTACGTCGGGACTTTCGGTTGCATAAAATGGAGATCGATCTACCACAACTTGTACGACTTCCACCGAGCCTGACATTGAGTAAACGATATATTTCAATGCATTGTTTGGACACGGATAGGATAGAGGAGACAACCAAGAAAGCAGCATTAATATACACTGTAAGGACACAAACACAGACGCATACGACGGCAACAACATATCTCTCTTCTATCAACTCCACGAACAGAAGACCGCGCAGAAGCTGGCATACACGGATGACAGCCAACTCGGGGCGCTGCTTGGCGGATCGCGCATACTCGCGCGCGCATGTCCCACAGCACCAGCATCGCCGGACCCAGAACCACTGATCGGGCCAGCGACAGTGCGAGGATCTCGCACGGTGCTGGGGCCTGCTGTGCTTGGACCTGTTACGTTGCTCGTATCGGGACCAGCGGCCGCGGCCAGACCTGGCGTGTTGTCCGGATGAGGCGCGTTATCAGATACGCGATCGAATTTCGGATACGACAGAAAAGGGTTGGGCGAAGTAGGTTGAAGATGGCGCCCTGGTGGACGCGCCCTTCCATGCGTGTACGCCCTCGCAACGCCCTCATCCACTTCGACACTGATCAACAGAAACCCAATGAGCACAAAGGGAGATACATACTATAATGTATGAGGGATGGAGGTGGGGATTCTTGCAGTCTGACCAGGCCAGAGGGTATTCCTTCCGACAGCTCGACATCCTCGAACGAGTCGCGCATACACGAAAAGCGCGCCCTCTACGACTGTGGCGATGACGTGCTCAGCCAATGCTCCACAGAGCCATAAAAAGCACGCTACGCACTGGTATAATTTCGGGAGTATACGTGAGGGTCGACGCAAGCAGTGGGGGCGCGAGCCGAACTGCGGGAAGCGCGCGCTGCCTCATGATGCCCAGGGCGCTTATGCGTGGATCGGAGGCATCGTTCGGGGCATGTCGTCTGGATATGTCGTTCAATCGTACAAGATAGCACCTGAGGAAGCCGGTAAGTAAATGACAGTAGTAGGGATTGCATCTCCCAGTAAGTAAACGCACTATTGATAGTTGTCTTCTCCCCGTCCTGCTCCACGAGTCCACCTAACATCCTGTTCCGCCAGACAAGCCATATTCCACGCTTCGTAGGAGGTGTATAGGACCAGCACCGCAAACGTTTTCGACGGGGAATAGAAAGGAAACCCCAGTGGAACTAGAGATCCAGCCGGGCGAAGGGAGGGCTTCACGCTCGATCGTCCTAACGCCTTATATCCCGACCCGGAGCGGGAACAAGGTGACACGTGGCAGGCACATCACAGCGACGCGGCAGGACGCGATGCGTCATCGGCAGCCTCCCACGTCGTCGCCACCAGCGATGTCTGACAAAGAACGCATCATACAGATAGGACGGCGCGTTCGTTGGAGGAGACGATTCGCGATTCGCTTGAGTTTCTTCAAGTCTGTCTCTGATGGGGTGTAGGTATATGCGCGATCGATCATATGGACAATATGAATGTCATGTATCTGAGGGACACCAGAAAGTACAGATAGTACTACAAAGTTTTGATTGCACGGACTTAGGCCTTAAGGCCTTAGCGCGCAACGACCAGCCAACCATGGACAAGCGTGAAAGCGCCAGGAGGAGTCCGCCCCGAAGACAATCGCTCCACCGAGTATCTGTGCGTGCATATGCACAAAACTGCCGGTGTCGAGTTTGACAAGCGCGCCATGTTCTCCTCGCCATCCGGGGTAGGCATTCGAATATCGTCGTCAGGTAGATTGTGCGTGATCACGTCGGCAGGCGAGTAGTCAATATCCTGACCCTCTTCGCCGTCTTCATCCATACTGGCGTCAGGTTCAACCGACTGTGAGCGACTGTCCTCCGGGGAGTGAGCATTGGCCGGCGAAGATGTATGCATATCGGTGTCCGAGGGTTGCAGATCCGCACGATTCCTTGTAGAGGGTGCCCGGTAAGCAACTAATCTTGGAGTACGTCAAGGGCTTGCGACGAACCGGACCTCGCCAAGAAGCATCCCGAGTCCATCTCTCACCCCGTCTTGCTCGTCGTGAAAAAGGAGGTTAAAAAGGTATATTCTTGATCTTCGCGTACTTTTGAATACTCTCACTGAATTCTCGCGCAGGAGGTTGGGGTCCAGGAGAAGGGTCTGGGGAAGGGGGACCTGAAGATTGACGAGGACGAGGAGGACGAGGACAAGAAGAATTGGACGAAGCACGTCTGGACGCGCAACCCCTCCGAAACCAGCCAGAAGGAGTACGGCGCGTTCTATGAATCGCTCACCAACGACTTGGAGGATCACCTTTCGCCAAGCGCTCCTCATTGAGGGTCGGCTCGCGTCCAAGACCATCCTCTACGTCCGGAAGTGGTATATCTCGCTTTCCAAGGCGCATTCGAACGTGTCGCTCATTATTTTCCAGCGCGCCCTCCTCATCGAGTGGAAGAAGAGGCGCAACAGCATCAAATTCTACGTTCGCCGGCACGGACGAGCAGACCTTGATCCCGTATATACTCACGGCGCTCAACGACACTGAGCTCGCGTTCAAGTTCGCTTCGCGTGGGAACTCGTCCGGCGCCGACGACCTACACATCAAGCAGTACCAACAACTCTTCCAGTCCGGCAACTTCGGCGAGGCGGCAAAGATCGCGACCAACTCGCCGGGCGAGATCCTTCGTACTGCGCGGGACATCGAGAGCTTCAAGCAGATGCCTGCGCCGCCTAGCGGCACGTGGCCCATCTTGCAGTACTTCGGTATCTTGCCCGAGAAGGGTAAACTCAACGACCTTGAGTCCGTCGAGCTTCCCCCCCCTGGTGCTCCAGCAGGGTCGCAAGCATCTGATCGAGAAGTGGTTGAAGGTGAACAAGGTATTTCATCGTCGTCTCGACATACTTCGTACACAAAGCTGTCACACCGTAGTTGACGTGCAGCAAGGAGCTCGGCGATATCGTCCGCCTACATGACCTCATCCTCGCCCTCTCCGTCTACCTCCGCGCCAACGTCCCTAACGAGGTCATCGCCTGCTTCGCCGAGACCGGCCAGACGGACAAGATCCTGCTCTACGCCAATAAAGTCGGTTTCCACCCGGACTACGTCGGTCTCCTGCAGCACATCATGCGCACCAACCCGGACAAAGGCGCCGAATTTGCCGCACGGCTGGTCAACAACGAGTCAGGGCCCTTGATCGACGTCGAGCGCGTCGTCGACATCTTCATGGCGCAGAACATGATCCAGCCTGCGACGAGCTTCTTGTTGGACGCGCTCAAGGAGAATAAGCCGGAGCAAGGGCATTCGCAGACGAGGTTGCTCGAAATGAACTTCTTGCATGCGCCGCAGGTCCCGGACGCGATTCTCGGCGACGAGACGTTCTCACACTACGACCGCCCGCGCATTGCCAACTTGGTTCGCGTATGCCCTGCTCAGAAGATGAGACACATGACAAGAAGGTATCCGAGGCGGGAGCACGTACGCGCTGAGCTCATCGAAGATGGAGTCCCTCGCACACCCACTGCTCGGATGCATATTCACCAAAAGCTTTGAGTTCGCCTCTAGAAGACCAGTATGGGTCCGCGCCTGGAGACGCCCGTCTGGTCAAGGAGCGTCTGCGAGATCGCGAACCTTGACCGGTCTGCCGGGGTGATCACCGGGTAACTCCTGCTTCGGGTGTCAATGAAGCGCCCGCGGGCCGCCCCTTCGAAGAAGCGGGACCATCTGGGGATGGTGAAACCCTGGTTGAGCGGGAAATGCGTGACAGGAACGCGCGTCAGACGGGCCCTCGAGTTGGTGGGTATGTACAATGCCACGACCTCTGTGTCAACCTGCAGAGGTGATCCGGCACAGGATCAGTTATGATGGCGACAAGGAGAAAGCAGAAAGACGTACGCCACTGTGGTTGAAGCCACTATTGATGGAGGCTCGAGATGACCTGCTACGCGTGAACATTTGCTTGCTGTACTGAGCGGACACGTACTTCCGAGATTATAAACGCGCAACATGAGAACGGACGCGACATGTCTGTTCTAACCAGATGTCCGGGTGATCTTGACGGTGCGCAGCATGCGCGACTAGTCAGGTGAATGAACTCAGCAGGTTCGAGGGCATGGCGGTTGGAGTTTGGGGTGGGTCAAGGACTTCTCAAGAGACGCGGCAGAGATCAAACGTATGGTCGTGCTTGCTCAACGCGGCGGTTTGGCAAGTGCCACCATCTGCTCTCGCATTCCTCTATTCTGATACGTCGCCATTTCCCTGTCGTAGCACTGGCCAAACCACCGTCCGTTTGATTCTTCTTTCTCAGCTTTGTGCTTCTCCAAGATCCGGGATTGGTCTGCTCAGCATCGCGATACATACGCGCCATGTTTCCTCATACGCGCACAAGCACTGAAGACCTGCGTGCTGGTCTTCGCCATGACGTAGAACGGATGGCTCTGGCGACATTCTCACAGGCTTCGTCCAGTCTTAAATACTACCTACTTCTGTGAATGCCCTCTCCAACATGGTTCTCAAGCGTACGGCAGAAGACGTCGCCGCCGCTGCTCTCCAGCCAACTAACAAGAAGCCTCGGCGCCCCGCTACCTCTCCTCAAGCCTCTGATACCTCTACCGAAGCCAATAGCTTGGCCACTATGTCCAATACCTCGGATTCCGCAGTAGACGCGTATGCAGCCTCTCGACCCCATCAACTCTCGCCCATCTTCTGATGCGTTTGTAGATCGCGTACTGAGCAGACCCAATCAGCTGGTACTGGTCTGAATCAAGAAGCGCAGTCGAGCCCCTCTGAGTGAGTACTATTCGTAGTCAACGTGGGCTGTAACACTGGCTGACGAACGTGTGCGCCTAGGTTACCGCCGGAATCGTCCTCTAACGAGAATTCAAGTGTCGTCTCTCCATCAAAGTCTTGCGAACGTCGCCGCTGCGTCTGCACCTGCCGAAGGTGCGGCTCCTGTTTCCGGATCTGTGCAACCGTCCTCTGGTAATCAGACCAACACCTCGGCAACGTCGCATACTCGAATTGGGCCGAGCCTTAACGCAGCACCGACGGCATCTCAGCGAGCCACAGGGCAGCCGGCCACTGTCCAGACCCCTCGCGCCCCTGTTCCCCTAAAGTGCGCCTGGTTCCTCTCACCCATAGTATACGTTGATGCTTACAGACCGGTGAATCAGGTCCGGACTTGCAGTGACCTTGCGCGGAGGCGGCAGCCCGGGCATCGTTGAAGCTGTCAAGCTTAGCGATGCTTTCTTGGGGCGTGACGAAGTAGGAGAGTACGTTATAGCTTTGCCGGAATCTTGGTGATTCTCTGATATTGATGCACAACCTAGGCGTATCTGGAACATGCTCAGACTTCCTGGAGCTCATCCCAATGCTGTGAATCTCGCTGCGGCCGATCCTACCTTGTTCAACAGCTCGACACGCTATGTCACCACCTACGACAGGCCTCCGGAGACTGCTGTGTTCTAGCTACATGGTACAGTCACGTACAACGGACTCGACGACGAAACTCCCAATCGCGGTCGCCAAATTTGCGTAGCTCCATTCGATGTCGGTCTTTCGCGCGCGCTCTCGCTGTCATTCGGCGGTTCTGTGGAGATGGGTACTTCTACGTGAATACCTTCAGGAAGGGGTTCAGTTTCACGACGGGAAACTTCAATTGTGAGTGGTCTTGACCTGTTTGTGCGTCAACAAGTGTCCTTACATCGCTTTCGTAGCTCGCCTCGGCGACGATCTCAACGCTTTCCGTCCTGTGCTAACGCGCGACACGCCTGGTACGCAAGCCGATGCCTCGGGATAGTGGATCATTACTGATGACGGTACGCAGTGCCGATATACGATGGCCGTGAGCGGTTTTTGTGGCCGCAGTACGAGAAGCTTCCTCGCCTGCCGCAGTATGAGGTCGACAAAGGCATGGTTTGTGCTGTGTTTTTCACCCTTGGCTTCTACAAGACGACCCCAAAGGACGCCATCGTTCGCAACGTCGTGCGCAAGACCGCGGGCATGAACTTACAGGCCGTCATCATTCTCGATAACCCAAACCCATCCAACAATGCGGAAGATCGAAGAGTTGGAAGGTCCGTTGGACGAAGGGGTTCAATCTGACCAGACGCTCAATCTGAACAGCGCCATCAATGTCGGCGCCGTTGCGCAGGCGCCTTCCTACAGAAACCGTAACGAGAATGAGGTCGTGGGTTGACGACCCTATGGTCCTCTGAGCTGGATTTATGTTGACTCGTGGACACTTACGGACTACTGCGCCTTTTGAATAAGTACCAGACGGTACACGGACTGCATGCTGCTTCTCTGTTGGTCTCCAAACATCCTGTAGGGCTTGTCCCCGCTATCCAGATCTGTCTTCTGTATGCATTATACATGTACTCTGTGGCGATTACGCCTAGAGAATATACCCTGTATTTCGGCTTGTTTCTTCCGCGCTTGAACTGTGCTGTACTTCACGTTATCCGCTGACCGGATCGGATGCTCGTGGTTCGCGCTGACTGATGTGTCCGAAGCGCTGTTCGTCGAACGTTGACTCAAAACGGCGCACCTGGCCGACCTATCGTCGGTTTTTCTCACTCTCCTTCGCCCACCATGCACGCCCCGACTCCTGCAATTGATGTATCCCACCACCACAACAGTGAGCGGCATACTTCACCGTTCTCCCTCGTTTAGCTCACTGGGAAGTTCTGATAGTGCAACAACATTTTCGCGCAAGCTCGCATTCTGAACACAATCTCGACGCTCACGACTTGGAGGAGATGCGCAAGCATTGCGCCTCCGTTCTAGACGAGATCATGACCTTCATCGGTCATCTTGTACGGCTTTCTCCTCACAGCGCCAAGTGGTCAAAGCTGGTTGGGCCAGAATGGGATCTGCCATTGTGAGTCGAGGTCCACAGATTCTTGAGGCGATCGGGATTCAAAGGTGGTATTCGCTTGTGAGTAGCATGTAACACTTCTTCTTTCTTCTGATCGCTGATATCGTACCCTTCGCGAACGCATCTTGACGTGATTTGGATCAACCCTGGTCGTGATCTTCCGAGTTATAAGGCGGTCGTATGGGCTTGCTCTGACGTCGTCATCCCTCGAGCATGGAAACCATCCTCTGGTACCCCAAGGGCGTCGGCACCTTCATACGTGGAGGGAAACCCGCCGAGAATTTCGTGACGCATCACATCGAGATGCGATCCTCCGCATTCGCAGGGTACGGTGGTTTACCACGTACTTTCAAGGACAGACTTCCTGACGGTCCTCCTGGCCGCTGCCGCCGGTTCGTTCTTCGCAGAGTGATCTCCGCATGCGACGATACTGATTATATCTCAGTCTGAACATCATAGAGCAGGTTGCACTGAGTCTGCCTAGCCTGGCGACTTTGGTGAGAAACAGACTCCACCCTCCTGTAGCAGGATCGGTGGTATTGCCGCCATTCGAACTAGAGGTCAGTTCCAATGCTAGACTCGTGTATCTTGCCATGCTGATACTGCAACTCACAGGCAGTGTCGCTTGAGATCACGCCCGTCTTTCAGGATGACATTGCGCACATCGATGTCGAATATCGGATCCAGGCCGGTAACGACACCCTCATCGTGAGGCATCGTGACCCTCTGTTATGAAGTCTCAATAATGAGTTGTATTACTGCCGTTCATGCCATTCGCTCAGTCGTCTTTGGTTTGTCGCTCGAGAGTCACTTTGAGGGGAAGATCCCGTTGAGATGCCGAGGAAGAAAGTGTAGAGTGTGTTAAGTCAGCACTAGTCAGCGTCAGTTTCATTAGTCAGGGATCGGGTGCGCGCGCGCACCGTTAGCTTCCCGGACGCGATTCTCGGCGACGAGATGTTCTCACACTACGACCGCCCGCGCATTGCCAACTTGTGCGAGAAGGCCGGCCTTCTTCACGTACGCTCTTTGTCAATTCTTCCTCTTGACTCTTGCTAATAGACTGTTGCAGGCGCTCGAGCATTACGAGGACATCGCGGACATCAAGCGCGCGATCGTACATACTAACATCCTCCCGGTCGACTGGCTCGTCAACTACTTCGCGCGCCTCACGCAAGAGCAGGCCATGGCCTGCCTCAACGAGATGATGCGCGTCAACATGCGCCAGAACTTCCAGGTCGTCGTGCAGATCGCGACCAAGTACAGCGATCTCCTTGGCCCGCTCCCGCTCATCGAGATGTTCGAGTCGTTCAAGATGTTCGAGGGTGCGTTACCCTCTCTTCCCTCTCCATTCTAGCGCTCAAAACTCACCCGCTTATGTCGTGCAGGTCTGTACTACTACCTCGGTTCCATCGTCAACCTCTCCGAAGACTCCGAGGTCCACTTTAAGTACATCCAAGCCGCCGTCCGCACCGGCCAGACCCGCGAAGTCGAGCGCATCGTCCGCGAGTCGAACCACTACAACCCGGAGAAGATCAAGAACTTCCTCAAGGAAGCCAAGCTCCAAGACCGACTCCCGCTCATCATCGTCTGCAACCGGTTCGACTTCGTACACGACCTCGTGCTGTACCTGTACCAGAACGGGTTGATGAAGTCCGCCGAGGTGTACGCGCAGCGCGTCAACAGCGTCAGGACGCCGCAGGTCGTTGGTGGATTGTTGGATGTCGATTGCGACGAGACATCCATCAAGGTGTTGTTGGCGAGCGCCACGGGCAACTTCCCGGTCGATGAGCTTGGGCAGGAGGTCGAGCAGAGGAACATTATGAAGTTGATTCTGCCGTGGTTGGACGCGCGCGTACAGCAGAGTTCGCAGGATCCGGTGAGTCTTGCCTTCCCCCGATTGCTGCGAATATACGCTTATGATGTGCCGGTCAGGCCGTATACAACGCCCTCGCCAAGATCTACATCGACTCGAACAACAGCCCGGAGCAGTTCTTGAATGAGGACAACGTGCGTACTCACATAGTTCCTATAGCCTAACGATGATCCTAATGTTCTTCGCAGCTCTATGAGCCGCCGATCATCGGTAAATTCTGCGAAGCGGGTGAACAGACGCTCGCGTACACCGTGCACGCCAAGGGCTTCTGCGACGACGAGCTAATCGCCGTGACGAACGAGAACTCGATGTCCAAGTGACAAACACGCTACCTCGTGAAGTGCCGCCGTCTCGACCTCTGCGCGCAGGTCCTCGTGCCCGGCAACCTTCACCGTTGCCAGCTCATCGTTCAAGTGGTCTCCGTCGCCGTATCCGGGAATACCGACCCCGACAATGTCACCGTCACCGTCAAAGCCTTCATCAACGCAAACCGTTCCTGCCGAAGCCATCGAGATCGCAAACCACGCCTGCAAGCACGATGACCTTGTCCGTTACCCCCAAATGGCGCGCAGAAGACCCTATGCGAGCCCAAGGTCGACACTAGGCTCGCCTATGCCTACGCCAAGACGGACCATTTGCACAACGCGGAGAACTTCCTCAACTTCACGAATGTCGCGGACGTCGTCGGCGGCGGAAAGGATTTCGTCCGGCGATAATATCACCTCGCTCATTGGCAGTATCTGGTGTAGGTGTATGTAGAATGAGTTTTGATACATGGCTAGCGAGATAGGGTACATCTTAGTTACTACCCATGTGCCAGATCCAGTTCGGTAAGGAATATAGTCACTATAATCTTCGAGCTCTGCGTCAACGTACGTTGATAGGCGTGTCCTCCTCGCTGATAGAGCCGATGGGATGGCTAGACGCGTCGCTTTCGGGACCGTCCAGACAAGTAGACCCGATGCGGCTGCCGACGCAAAAGCCATCGACAGATAATGAGAGCGGAATTCGCGTATTGCTTGAATGGGCGAAGATATCCCACAGCGAGTCCGACGTCGCGCTATGTGCCAATTGGATCAGTTGACTTGTGTTGGCGTTCTGCGAACGAACCGGTGTTAGCGGCCGGTCAGCAACGATATCAGGGTACACACCGTATGAACATGAACAGCGGATTGGCTGCAACGCGAGCACTCGCGATCTGAGGGACCACTCGGCGTGGAGACTGACGAGTCACCCAGGAGGAGTGAATGAGTGAGTAGCTTAAGGCTAAAATCGCGGTACCACGTACATTGAACAGCCAGGTCACCGACGGATGTGCTGTTGCACCATTTTGCGCTCTTGTCTGGTTCCTGGCGTCGGCATCACCCTCTCGGGCGACATATATACCGTTATCGCGTACGGGGTGACTGAGTTCCGCAGACATAGTGGTACTGAGCAAACTTTGAACATCCCCGCGAACACGCCTTACCGCACGAATTGCCGGCTAAATCGGCTCTTGAAGCTTGAAGGCTCGTTCAAAGAAAAATACGATCTTAGCATAGCGAAAATTCCCAGATTCTGTATTCCTCCTTCGTCTGACTATCCGACCGATCGAGAACAAGCGCGCGTACGTAATACAAGATGTCAACATGAATCGTATTGCCGCCAACAGTCCCCCGACGCATATAGCAACGAACTGCGACGACATTCAATTGTAAGAAACACGGCTATGAAACCAAAGTTAGTCATGTACTATACCGCTCGCAGAGACTCACTAGTCACCACATTGGACGAAGTTAACGGATGCGAGGCGCCGTCGGCGAGGACTGGGCGGAGGACGAAGACGACACCGTCTTGCTCGGCGACGCTGGAGGAGTGTCCGTAGACGAGTCTGAAAGAATCTTGCTCTTGCGCTGATAGAACTCCCCAGGGGTCGGAAACGGCCACATCGTGCCGTCCCAAGCCTGATTCAAGATCTGGATGCTTGGAACGCCAACTAAGACAAGTCAGTGTGCGCCTGATATAAGATGAGAGTGGCGTAACGAACGACCCGTGACGCCTTGCTCAGCGTAGCCACAGTCCCAGTCGTCGATCTCTTCATGGTGGAGAACGAAGCCTCGGCATCCGAAGATAGTGTATTGAGTGTTCTGCAAGTGCGCCGGCTTTCTTTCCTGCGCCCGCCAGCCGTGGCGGCACCAAGCCGAGCGATACATCGTGTTGTTGGGGGCGGGGACAATGGTGCGTCCGCCACCGTTGAAGAACGGAAAGCGACGGTCTAAGCCAGGGATATTGGTGTTTGTGAACACAAGAGGGTCGTTCGACTGCTGAGCAAGATGCGCTTGGAAGACGGGCATGATCGTGCAGGGCAATGGAGTTGCTAGCTACGTTCTTAAGTAGACAAGCAACAGCAACCGTGCGTCATGAGAACACACACCGGCTGAATTGCTGGTGGGCGCGATGTTCGCAAGCTTATTACGCCCCGCCATGCACTTTATCCATATTAGTTTACCTCTGCACACCAGAGGGGTCAGCAGTCGAAGGATGCGCGATGGTATCGCGTCTTACGAATAGGATATCCGGCCGAACCATATGCTCAAACGCTCTTGCCCGCACTTCTTCTCCCAGTAGCATGCGTTCGAACTCATGACCGAAGGGTGTATCAGTCATGGGAGTCGATAAGGGGACATCCAGGTTGACGGAAGAGTGTACCTCAGCCGAGACTGAGCATCTGGTCGTGAGGGAGAACTGTACGATTTGCGACGGCCAGCGGTGGCGATGGGCTCAGTCGCCCATGGTGGTAAGAATCCAACATCATCAATGTCCCTCGATCCCTCTTGATCCCGACCACCGCCGTCGCGCCTAGAGCACCACGCAATGAGCTCCACCATGAATCGGGATTTCGGAGATGTTTGCCTCTAGGCCATCCAGTCTATCGGAACTTCCTACATATTGCAAGACTGAGGATGTTCTGACATCCTGGATGCTACGCCCTTACATAGTGCCAAAAAGACCCAGTATAGGGCGCAGTCAATTATATATATATTACTCTTTTTCGTGGGCTTCTGGGACATCAATAACCATGATGATTGGTGTCGAGATATACAAGGGACTATCGTGAATTATATTCAGAAAAAGATAGGGCTTATCGGGCGAATGATAGGGCTATTCAATTGTTTCTGACTTTAGACTTCATTAACGATGGACGGTCTCAAAAAAGTGTGATCTGCCTCTAGTGCTACCGGTATCTGGATCGGCGCCACCACTCCTTGACCACCCGCCTTTTGCGAATTTGACTGGATGACCCCTGGGTACGAGCTGTACCCTGGCTAACACTCTCCAGCTCGGTCTCGTCGCCTTGTCGCACGCTCGCACTGAGCAATGGCGCCTCGGCTGCAGCCTGCGCATCAAGCGAGCCAACAGAGAAACCCTCCGATGTGTGCAGCGAAAGGAAGTATCGGGCGGATGTTCGGAGTTCAGCGAACTGCGCGCGCCAATTCGAGGCTTGAGAACGACGAACCCATGCCTGCTTGCAAGCATAGGCCCGGGCGCCATCTGCCCAACCCTGATCAGATGCATAAGCATGCTCTTCGCCGAAGTCCATCCGCTCCTCCGGCTCGCGGCGAGCGTCCCAGACCTTCGCCATATTCTCGCTGAACTCGATTACACGCCGCATCTCTTCATCCAGAAGCCGAACTTCCTGTACCCAATGCTGGGCTCGAGCGCGGCTTTTGCACCACTCTACCATGAGTTCTGATAATGAAGTTTCAGGCGCACATCAAATGAAATGAACATGATAGAAATAGCTCACCGTCGGTGATCTCAAGTCCTGACTCCGCGGTGTTATTGTACCAGATCCACGGCAGTTCGTACTTCGTCTCCCCAGACGACGCCGTGCCCCGCCTTCCTGCCAGAAACTTCCTGATATTGTCTTCCGACATCTTGTCTATCTGTTCAAGCAAGCGGTCGCCCAGACCACGACAATCAATGTCCTTCAGCTCACGCATCGTATCTTCCCAACCGCCCTTCCCGGGTCCAACCAAAGTGAGGTATGCCTTGCGATGCCGTCGGTATGCGTTCGCCGCCTTCTGAATGTTATCATAAACACCGTCCTGTGCCTCGCGAGCGCGCGTATTGTCGCGTTGGCCTGTGATATTCGCGAGCTTGAACTTGTTGATGCAGCCCTTCAAGCGCAGTTGATGTCGTAAGTTGTGAAGCTCATCCGCCATCCCAGCCCACCTCAATTTGGCCTCCATCGTGCGAGCCACTGCTGTACCTAGACTGCTGTCCTGGTCAGACGAGTCCGACGGTAAGTACAATTTGACGGTCAGCGCCTCCTGACAATCCGGGTCACGCTCGTCCAATGTCAAGGCGGCATAGACTGCAGGCATGTGATGCTCTTGCTCCTTTCGGAAGCGCAGAACAGATGTCAGCATGGCTTTCAGGGCTTGCGATCTAGCTTTGACCTGGTCGGTGGTCCCTCCGGTAGTCTTGTGCTTTGAAGAGAAGCGCTCCCTGTCAAGAGGGATGAGGATTGGCTATGGGCGCTTCTCCGATCACACACCTATCTTGTTCTATCCTGAATCCGTATCGGATGAAATGTAGCAACGAGCGTTCCTCTTCGACATCTAATAGCACAGAGGTATTGAACGTGAGGCCTTGGGCTTGGTCTAGCTGCGCGTCCATATCATCTGAAAGGTCCGTCATAGGTACGGTAAGTATGCATGAGTGAAGAATCGAACATCATATGAAGAAGTACCTGTCTCGACGTAGTACGGACACGATGTGCCTTCCTTCTTCTCCGAGTCCTGCTCCCAGGTTCTGATAGCCGTTCGTGCTTGGGCCACTTTCGAGGCATCCTCCGCCTCGATCGCTCCTGTAAATTCTGTGAAGATTGCCGTCTGCTTTGACCCGTTATCGAGCGCGCGCTCCATGCGTTCGCAAAGTAGGTCGGCTACGTAGAAACACCATGAGACCGTATGCACCCTTGCGCTGCCACCGTAACTCACCTATTCCGCGTGTTTTCATCCAATTCCATGCGCTACACATGTCGTCCATGGTGTCGCTCATACCTCCTGGCCCCATTTCGCGCAGGCTAGATGCCGCAGGATTCGCGCCGGCCCAGATACGCTCACAACCCTCTCCATCTGTGGCACCAGTGCCGAGTAGCAAGCCAAGCGAGTATCGTAGCTGACAGAACATCTTGTGGGCGTATAGGTGGAACTTCGGAACGGCGTAGGTTATCGTTTTGTTGACGTGATGCTTCAAGAATTGCGCAGCTCCCGTGGATACGACCCAGGTCGGTTTCATCTTACGCATGCGCACAGCAAGTCGCTTGCTCCACTGGCAGGCGATATCGTAGCAGGCAGTGACTTCCGCGCAGCGCAGGAATGAGAGTGCGCCGCAAAACACCCAATCCATTGTGCTGTACCTAAGCCACCATTTAGTATTAAGCAATGAGATACGGCGCGGCTTTCAGGACTTACCGCTCTCCCTTGCTCAGCGTAGCTAAACCCAGAGGTTGCACGAACTCATGGCGGGCACAGAAGCACCCGGCTATGCCCGTAGTCCGCATGCCTGTCCCGCCCTTCTTGTTTGCCAACACCAAAGCGCCAAAGCGAGAGCAGTCGCATGGCTGCTGTGAGTCAGAGATGATCAAACGGCGCTAGCGAACACACATACAGGTTCCGCCGAGTCCTGACCCTCAGTCTTTTTGATGTAGTTGTCGTACTCCTTCGGCGGAGCCATGTACGCGCGGCCGTCTGTAAGGTTGGGATCGCGATCCGTCTTCCTAGCGGATTTATTATTCAGTCGGAAGTTAGCGTCCATTGACAAGATTACCCGGTACAGCCAACTAACCGCGTCATCAGGATAGCGTACACAAAAACGAGCGAGTATAACACATACCGGAAGGGACTTGTAGCCCAGTCCAACGGCACGTTAAGATCAAAGTTCGGACACGCCGGGCAGCGCAGCGCGCAAGCACCCGGAGGCGTCGCTGCAATTCCGCCCGGTTCGTGCCCGCGACCAGAGCGCTTAAACATGAAAACATGCCGAAACTGGCGTACACATAAGGTAAGCTGCTGACGGACGTTCTGTACGTACAGCACTGTCAACATTTCGTTTCCCGAATTTCAGCGAAGACTTACGGCGATTCCACGGAGACCGGCGCCGTCGGTCGCAGCTTCCAGCGCTCTGTAGTAATCGTACACATTCAAGCGTCCAATCAGTGAGATGCGCGTGAATTGGTCCAGTGCTTCAAGCGTAGTGGCAGTCTCTGGATCGACGCAAGTCGCAGGCCAAAGACGTAGGCGCATAAGTTGGATGTGGTATGGCACCTTTGCGCCCCTCTCGCAACCGCAGAAGTCCACAGGGATCTGATGAACTCCATTGGTGTGTATGACTGTGAAGTTCTCGACCTGGTGTACCGCACGAAAGCTGCAGCACTCGCCGGGTGGATGCATGAGTTGGATGCGCATGCCCAGATCTGCGGCGCGTATCTTTTCGTAAAATTCCCCATTGTATCGCTATGGGTGGGTAAGGGCCCGCTCGCGGAGTATCGTTCAATAGGTGAACTTACTTGAATATTATGAAGCGGGTTGTATCTATGCCAATGCCGTATGCAAGTAGCACATAGATTCGCGCTTCGGCAATCTTCACATCGGTGATCTGGGAAACCTTCTTTCTGGCAGCCAGGGCACCGCTCCAAGTCAAGCGCCTCCGCACGTCCGTCTAGCCGAATGACTTCATTCAGGAAAATGTCACGCCAAAGTAAGGCCCATCTGTGGATCGGAAAGCTCTGAGTTTGCGCGTTAGTTGGATAGTCGGCGACTGAAAGCAAGAGCGTGACTCGCCGAGAAGAGACTACGGATCCGTTTCGTCGTCTTATGCAAAGTGGACTCCTCGTGTTCGTTTTCGACCACGGGAGGGCAGCCATCGTCGCCAGGGAGGCAGCCGTCGTCGCCAGGGAGGCAGCCGTCGTCACCAGGGAGGCAGCTGTCGTCTCCAACGCCGAGTTGGTTGCCTTCATGCTCAGTACCTGCATCGCTCAATGAGAATTTCCCACAGCTCGCATGGTCCGTACCGCACCGTTATTAGTGTGTGCCGCGTCTGCAAGAGCGACGCCGCCGAAGGGACGCCGAAAGGCGTCTATTAAGCGTTCCTGGCCCAACTCCTCAAGTATACATGAGCTCATCACCGACTTCCCGCCATCGCCGGTGAACTTGACTGGGGTGTGAGCCTGTAGACGTGAGACCTGAGCCAGCGGCGTGCGGGTTTCCTTGACATGGCAGAATGAGAGAGTAGACTGCGCTAGTCTGAACGACCCAGAGCTGATCGAGAAACTAGATGCCCCAGAGCCACCTAATCCGAGTCGAAGCCGCTTTGAGGGTAGAGATCCAGCATTGAGGCCTTCGTGTTGCCTTTCCGAGGGTCGTTTCATAGAACCGGAGAGCAAACGCAGACGATGTTTGGGACTAACATCGCGACGACGACGGATGAGCCGTAGTATTTGAACACGTGTGTGACTATATCAAAACGTATACTCAGCAGGAGCGTCTGCGGGAGATGGCGATGCATACATGCTATCGGCGAAACGCGAGACGCGAGGTCCGGAAGAGATCGTCGTACAGCCCCGATATTCTTGCTCATCCTCCGCCTTGACGCCTCATCTTGATGTTGCGCGTAATCTTTTCAGACAGAGCGAGAACACGTAGCTTTGGTCGAGGATGGTTGCACTCGTAGGAAGGCTTTGTCGTAAGGGGACTGCTGTTCAGGCTCTGGATGAGAACCAGCGCGGGGCAATGATCTGAAGCAGTAACCACTCACCAGCGCATCAATTCACACCTGAAACAGGGCCGTGAGTGCCTTTGTCTGGCTTAGCTTGATCTAATGTATAGGTCAGGCTGTTGTCATGACGGGGCGCTCAGTACCGAACATCGCCATCGAAGTGATTGATGTGCGAGCGTCCACGCACATGGGCAATGTATAAGAGAGGAAATCGCATGAGAATAGACGCCATGATCGTAATTCACAAGTGAAGGAGAAGGGCAATGCGTAGCGGGCTCGATCCTTCAAAGCTGAAAACATGACGAGGGGGAAAGGGGGAACCAGGGTAGAGTGGCGTGGGATGCAGAACATGGATGATAAGCAAGAGCATCTGTGAAAACACCGCTATAAGGTTGATGGGTGCCTTGAACAAGGCTCGGTGTGGTGAGCGCGCTAGAGGGCTAGGTATCGATGCATGATTGGGTGGGACTCAGAAAGTTGATGATGCGGGCGAACCTTGGATACCAGTCATCGCCATTACCGTAACGGTAGCGACAGCTGCGGTACTCTGCCAAATCTTCTCTGGGTCATCGGTGATAGCAATTCCATCTTGCCGGCGCCAGTCCTCAGGTTGGTGGTGGTAACGATGAAGATATGGGAGCGGACTCGAGGATGGCTATGAGGATGGGAGAATACGATGAGTGAGGTATTTGAGCGAACGTCAGTGAGCAGGATCCTGCCAGTAAATTGCCTATTTGACCTCTATTTTGCGCGAATCGCAGCAGCGCACCTCCGGTGGGAGCTCTAAATCAATTCATTTGCCGTCTTCATGGGCGAGACGGAGAGAGAGAGGTGACGGCTGGACCGGAAACGGCGGAGCTAGGACGGGCCGCCGGCCCGATGCACGCACCTTAGCCTGCCTCCACCACCACCCACCACAACTAGGTCGTGCGGCCATGGCCGGGTATGTTCGTGTGAATCTCATTTACAGGTATGTCAATGAGCCTTGTGAAGGGATCTAACAGACGCTCGATCTCTATCGCGGCTCTCGAGTTCGCGACTAGAGGGATTGCAGAACGTTGGCTCAGATCTTCAGATCGCTAAACCCGGAGTTTGTGGATGTTCAGAAGGTGCGACGTCTACTTCCTCAGTATCTCATGTCTCGTGGGATTGAAGATCTGACAGCAATGGCCGCTCATCATTTAGTGGAGCCTGTAGCCGAAGCATGCGAGGGTGTCTGGGCCCTGCTTTGCCAACAACCATCAACTTGTCGGCGCTCTTTGACTTTCACTGGGACATCCCTGGTTCTCACTTCCAAAGACCCACGTCTATATATCTTCTCACACTTCCTGTCCACATACAACGGCAGTCTGCCTTCGCCCTTCTCTCCGCTGCTGACCTAACCGGACTGCGACGAACTTACAGGCTGCATTGTCTGACGACTCCCTCAAGATACGCTTAGGAAACGTATCGCATGTTACCAAGTTACCAAGTCTGGTGAGGCTCATCTGTTGTATCCGCATATACGCCAATTCCCTGCTCAGCGCTACGCGCGCGAGAGCTTAACTGGGCTCATCACTGTGACCCTTCCGATAAGGGCGTTATCAGACCTGCTGATCATGTGTCTTAGATGGATGCACACTCAAGGACGAAGCTGCGGTACGGAGCATACACGTTGAGAGATGATGCCGGGCAATCTGCGCTCAGTGAGCTTGAGTGCTCTACTGCGGTGTACGTTTGCAGCTCCAGGCTGCCGCACAACCTTGCATAACTGCTAACGTGTATCTTATCAGGTTACGGCGACGTCATTCTACGGTTCCTCCCAGTACAATAACAATCAGTGTCGCTTTGGCCAATCTTCGCCAGCCCGATCGCACTATGGACGGGGGACGCGTCGATGTCCCAAGCTTATACGCCTATATGCTCGGTCCGGTTCCCCCAATAGCGGTAGCCATCCACGATGGAAGCGAATCTCTACCCGGTGTTTCGCCAACAACCCGTCACACGGATCGTTGCTACGATCGCCTGCCGAATGCCGACCATTCTGTGAAGAAGACGCGCCCCGAGTCACGTTCAAGCAACCTCGACACGAATCGCAAGACACTTCAAAGTATCCCTTATCGGAGGAACAAAAAAGATAATCGCACCGCCATCTCCCAAGGCGGTGGAGCAGACCCCCAAACCCCTACAACAAGGCTTATTCGCCGACTCAGTTATCCTGAGAAGTCCCCACGTACACCTAGTGGATCACCTCCGGTCATGACAGCGTCATCCAGACACGGTAGCTTTCCACCGGTTCGTACGCGGCCTTACCCTATGCGTTGGGAGACTGCCGCCGAATCAAGTTCTGGTGCGACCTGGACAACTTCACCATCTCAAGGTCTTCATGCTGCGAGAAGCGAACCAACAACACCTGTGCGCACAGGTCAGGGGTCGATTGAGCTGTTCAGCGAACTCGGTGCGTCTCCTATATTCTTCCTGGACTCTCATCGGCTCGTCAGCATGACAGCCCGCAAGGCACACTACACCGATCTAACCACGGCATGTCCAGGTTTGACAGATTATATACGCCTTGCTCCAAAACCGGAGCATTGTCCCCCGCGTATGCGTAAACACATGCGTGAGGGGATTGTCAGTGCTGGCCCGCGATCCCGAGGACGCAAGACCGCGACAAGTGGCGTTAACGTTGAGGCGGCACGTCCCATCGTGCGCGTTATATCGCCTACGCCTCCCCCATTGCCAAGTGTACGCTTTCCGTCGCTAGATGATCAGATGCCACGCCGGGAGGATCTCTTGTTCGTCGGATGGTTCCCCCGACGCGGTTGTGGTAGAGACTCCCGGTAATGTCGTTACTCAGCCACGAGCGCATAAGCTCCTAGTACTATGACATTCAAGTTGCCTGATGCATAGACACTGCTGCTTCCTTGCAAGACAAATCCTATCAGTTCATTCTATGCCGGGCTACAGTGGTCATCGCTCCAGATCGGACGGTAGTGAGAGCAATGAGTGTGGCACACTTCGCTATCGAATCTCACGACGGTGAGGCCTGAGCGCGAGCGCTTGAGCGCTTGAGCGTGTCAAGAAGCTGGACGATCACTCCCACGCACGCCACCAACATCAATTGTGCATCAGAGGAAGATGCGGGTCGCTCGAGCACAGCAGAAAGTGGCTAGCACTGAGTCTGTGAGCTCTATACTGAGCGGGAGGGGAAGCTCCCGCGTGCCCTCCCTTATGAGTGGCGTCAGCATTGTGGCAGTATTGGGGCGAGAGAACGGTGTCCATCACCGACCCCACGTGTTAGTGAGGAGATAGTGCGCTGCTCCAATGCTCCCACCTTGCCATGTACAGCCACTAACCGAAGGCCATAGGACGACGAAGCTGAAGATCCACTGTGAATCTCCCATATCGGAGACGCCCTTTCTCACTTTACTTTGATAGACTTCGTATGCCTTTTGCCGTCACGTGTTGTTCACTCCTGACCGTCGGGAAAAGAAGACTAGAATCGGCTGGGTTATGTCCAGTACTGCACACGTATCTCTCACTCAGGGGTGCCCAACAGACTAGTCTTAGTACGTGCAATGGGTGTCCATCTGGACTGGGGAGGCTATTTGCGCTGACATAGTTCATCTCTTAGGCTGCAGATACGACTAATGTCGCATTTCATGTGCATCGACCCCGCGTTGTTGTTGAAGCCGCTCTCGGTCCCGCCGATGAATGTGCCTCCGGCCTTATCCATTTTGGCTACGGCTCTGGACTCAACACAGCTGATGACTTCAGAAGCTCCGAGTATCCCTTACCCCCACTTTCAGCCGCCAGGCACCCCGAGTACACCTCAAAGTCTACCCTCTCCTCTGAGCAAGCAACTGGTATCTCCTGCTGAATGCGCGGACCGTGAGTAGACTAACTTGTCCTCTTGGTTCCTGATGTACCTGACCTGGCAGCTTAGTGGACTCGACGTTACACGCGCTCACGAATAGGAAGAAACGTCTTCGATGCAAGAATGCGGTACGGTATCTATGCCCAATATCTTTCAACCTGATCATGATGACCTACTCGGTTAGTGCACTAACTGTCAGAAACACAATAAAAAGTGCGAAGATGCACGGCCCTGTCGACGATGTATAGACACCAGTAAGACAGAGTCGTGCACAAGTAGCGTACACAAACCTCCACACAGGTCCGCTCGAAGAGGCAAGTCTAGTACAACGTTGCTGCGTCCGGAGACTGAGCCGTCCAGTTAGGCCCGTACAAAAAGAGGAGTGTGGTGAGCCGCTAGCGCTCAGTCGAACCCAACTCCGCGACCGATCATACACCACCGCTTGGATCGCACGGCTGCCTGGTAACAGGTTCGACGTCTTAATCGCATGGTGCATGTTGTATAGCGCCCCACGAAATGACTATGTGCCAATAAGATTGTTTTCGGGAATTCAGTGCATCGACGATACTTATTCAATTCCACCTGTCTGTAACCTCCGCTCGCCTTAGTCCCAAGTTTAAGAACAATCGTGTCAGCCTCACCACGTGTCGCTCTTCAGGGAAAGATCCACGATGTATCACTCATTCCCGACGCGCGACCGCGTCTTCTGCGATGAGTGCGGCACTTGTAAGACAAGAATCAACGGACAGGACTCGATTTCACCTCTGTTTGTCCGGTCCCCTAAGCCTCTTACAAGCCTTTGACGTCTTGAGCTTCATGCGAGATTATGGCTGCGTCATATACAGTACGCCTGGCGGCCTCGAGGAGATCGTAAAGTACTCAATCAAGAGCACCTTTCTTAGCGCGAGAGCAAACGGCTCGACAGCGTCCACGTTCTCGCTACCTTTGTCGACAATGCAGATAGGACGAGTCTCATCAACACCTTCGTGTGCTTCACCGCAGTCATCCGTATCAGCGTGGAGGACTGACTGCAAGGTCCCGCCCAGATGTTAAAATCAAATATGATTATGGTCGCAGGTATCTCGTCAGCTCGAGTCGCGGGGAAGAAGGTTTAGCGGTGTAGTCAAGGAAATAGGTTTGCGGTATTACTCGCGGCCGTTGTCATCGTGAAGGACACCGCGAGTCCAACATGATGAGATGGTGCCAGCTCACATCACGTGGGACGATACCGCAAATGCGGAATGCTCAGAGGGGGAGGGGGGCAATGGCGCGTGGACAGACCGATGATGTGCTAATCAGATACATCTGGGGCCATAAGACGCATTCATGAACTGATCTACGCACACCCACGTTGAAAGTCGAACGATGTTCATCTAGAGGAGTTATCACGGACGGCAGAAGGGAAGACGAGAGTAGCAGAAGGTGACGACGAGGGGTCTGTGGGTGAGTACAGTATCTATTGTGCGCCACCTGAGGTAGGAATGTAGGATGATATGTGCGTGCGATGCGCCCATTCAGACATTGTAACAGCGCCAGCATGTGCAGAGGCAGGCCACTACGAGCGATGTAAGAAAACCGCGGGCATAACGGATCGAAGAGAACTCACTGTCTGAACTTCTATGGCTCAGCTGCAGGTTGAAAGGCTTCGTTCGCCGCATTAGCAGCGTCGTGGGCCGAATGCAGGCGGATGTAGCGGTTCCGAAACTTGCGATCAAGAACCTAGAGGACTGTCAGCTATCATCTGGAGAGACGATGAGGAAGAACACCAACCCGCTTGTAGACATTAATGTTCTCTTCGACATCACGCGTCCGGAAGTGGGGATCCTCCGCCAGTATAGCTCGCACACGGTCCGAGACCCAGGCCCTGACAGCAACGAAGCCAATCGTGAAGGCAGGATCGAGCTCCATAACGATGTCGTGGAACTCGCTGGACAAGATGTTCGAGATAGCGTCGGCTTGTAGCCTGCTGAGGACTTGTTGCCTGACCATGACGGGAAGAGAGAGAACAGCACATCGACTATATGTGATTGATTTCATATACCCAGCAGGCAGCACGCGGTCACATGAAGTATTCGCAGGAAGACTCGTCTTCGGAGTGGACGGCAGGAGGGCGCCAATCAGCACATTGTCGAGGGGGAGGCCGCATAGATCCCGAGTTACGAACAGCGCCCAGCGCCGGTGGGCGCTATGAAACGCGAGAGAGTGACCGGAAAGCCATCGAATATCACAAAGGTTCGCGGAGCGCGGAGAA